GCTTCTGCCAGACTCTCTGGAGATAGTATCTATTCTCTGTGGCTTTATTAAGAGCAGAGAATGTCATTTCTCTCACACTGGTGAGTCTTTCCTTGTAAAATAGCAATAATCTTGAATTCAACAATATTTTGGATTAAACTAAAAGCATAATTTCTGCCTCAGTTTCCATTGTACACAATTCCAGCTTTTCATGATATTCAGTCCAGTTCATATCAGTCTCTCAGTTATGTTCAACACTTAGCGACCCCATGGACTGCAGCATGACAGGCTTCCCTGTTCATCACCAACTCCCAAAGCTTGCTCAAACTCATGTCCATCCAGTTGGTGATGCCATCCAATCATTTCATCCTTTGTCATCCCTTTCTCCTCCTGCCTTCAATCTTTCCCAGGATCAGGGTCTTTTCCAATGAGTCAATTCTTCACATCAGGAGGCCAAAGTATTGGTGTTTCAGCTTCAGCATCAGTCCTTCCAATGAGTATTCAGTACTGAATATTTCCTTTAGGATGGACTGGCTTGATCTCCTTGCAGTCCAAGGGACTCTCAAGAGTCTTATCCAACACCACAGTTCAAAAGCATCAACTCTTTGACACTCAGCTTTCTTTATAGTCTAACTCTCACATCCATATATAACTACTGGGAAAACCATAGCTTTGACTAGATGGACCTTTGTTGAAAAGTAATGTCTCTGCTTTTTAATATGCTGTCTAGGTTGGTCATAGTTTATCTTCCAAGGAGCAAGCATCTTTTAATTTCATGGCTACAGTCACCATCTGCAGTGATTTTGTGGTCCAAGAAAATAAAGGCTGTCACTGTTTCCATTGCTTGCCCATCTATTTGCCATGAAGTGATGGGAACAGACGCCGTGATCTTAGTTTTTGAATGTTGAGTTTTAAGCCAGCTTTTTCACTCTCCTCTTTCATTTTCATCAAGAGTCTCTTTTGTTCTTCATTTTTGGCTCTAAGAGTGGTGTAATCTGCATATCTGAGGTTATTGATATTTTTCCCAGCAATATTGATTCCAGCTTGTGCTTTGTCCAGCCTGGCATTTGGCATGATATACTCTGCATATAAGTTAAATAAACAGGTTGACAATATACAACCATGACACACTCCTTTTCCTATTTGGAACCAGTCTGTTGTTCCATGTCCAGTTCTAACTGTTGCTTCCTGACCTGCATACAGATTTTTCAGGAGGCAGGTAAGGTGGTCTGGTATTCCCATCTCTTTCAGAATTTTCCATAGTTTCTTGTGGTCCACACAGTCAAAGGCTTTGGTGTAGTCAATAAAGCAGGAGTAGATTTTTTTTTTGGAACTCTCTTGCTTTTTTGAAGATCCAACAGATGTTCAAATTTGATCTTTCATTCTTCTGCCTTTTCTAAATCCAGCTTGAACATCTGGAAGTTCATGGTTCACATACTGCTGAAACCTGGCTTGGAGAATTTTGAGCATTACTTTGCTAGTGTGTGAGATGAATGCAACTGTGGAGTAGTTTGAACATTCTTTGATATTGCCTTTCTTTGGGATTGGAATGAAAACTGACCTTTTCCAGTTCTGTGGCTACTGCTGAGTTTTCCAAATTTGCTGGCATATTGAGTGCAGCACTTTCATAGCGTCATCTTTTAGTATTTGAAAGAGCTCAACTGAAATTCCATCACCTCCACTAGCTTTGTTTATAGTGATGCTTCCCAAGTTTATGGCTTTGTTTATAGTGATGACTTCACATTCCAGAATGTCTGATTCTGGGCGAGTGATCATTCTATCATGGTTATCTGGGTCATGAAGATCTTTTTAGTATATTTTGTGTATTCTTGCCACCTCTTCTTAATATCTTCTGCTTCCGTAGGTCCATACCATTTCTGTCCTTTATTGTGCCCATCTTTGCATGAAATCTTCCCTTTGTGTCACTAATATTCTTGAAGAGATCTCTAGTTTTTCCCATTCTGTTGTTTTCCTCTATTTCTTTGCATTGATCACTGAGGAAGGCTTTCTTATCTCTCCTGGCTATTCTGTGGAACTCTGCATTCACATGGGTATAGCTTTCCTTTTTTCCTTTGCTTTTTGCTTCTCTTCTTTTCTCCACTATTTGTAAGGGCTCCTCAGACAAAAATTTTTCCTTTTTGCATTTCTTTTTCTTGGGGATGGTCATGATCACTGCCTCCTGTACAATGTCAGGAACTTCAGTCCATAGTTCTTCAGGCCCTGTGTCTGATCTAATCCCTTGAATCTATTTGTCACTTCCACTATATAATCTTAGGGGCTTGGTTTAAGTCATACCTGAATGGTCTAGTGGTTTCCCATACTTCTTTCAATTTAAGTCTGAATTTGGCAATAAGGGGTTCATGATCTGAGCCACAGTCAGCTCCCAGTTTTGTTGTTCCTGACTGTATAGAGTTTCTCCATCTTTGGCTGCAAAGAATATAATCAATCTGATTTCTGTATTGACCATCTGGTGATGTCCAGGTGTAGAGTCTTTTCCTGTGTTGTTGGAAGAGGGTGTTTGCTATGACCAATGCGGTCCCTTGGCAAATCTCTGTTAGCCTTTTCCCTGTTTCAGTTTGTACTCCAAGGCCAAATTTGCCTGTTACTCCAGGTATCTCTTGACTTCCTACTTTTGTATTCCAGCCCCCTATAATGAATAGGACATCTTTATTGGGTGTTAGTTCTAGAAGATCTTGTAGGTCTTGATAGAACTGTTCAACTTCACCTTCTTTATCATTACTGGTTGGGGCATATACTTGGATTACTGTGATAGTGAATGGTTTGCCTTGGAATTGAACAGAGGTCATTCTGTCATTTTTGAGACTTCCCCCATGTGCTGCATTTCAGACTCTTTTGTTGACTATGATGGCTACTCCATTTCTTCTAAGGGATACTTGCTCACAGTAATAGATATAATGGTCATCTGAGTTCAATTCTCCAATTCCAGTCCATTTTAGTTCACTGATTCTTAAAATGTCAATGTTCACTCTTGCCATCTCCTATTTGACCACTTCCAATTTACGCTGATTCATGGACCTAACATTCCAGGTTCCTATGCAATATTGTTCTTTACAGCATTGGACTTTGCTTCCATCACCAGTCACATCCACAATTGCATTTTTTTTTTTTTTTTGCTTTGGCTCCATCTCTTTGTTCTTTTTGGTGTTATTTCTCCAATATTTCTTGATATTAAGTTAACATAGATCCTTCCTCTTATGTTGGTTCTTTCTTGTTACAGGTAGTAGGTTTTACATAAGAATCATATGCTTCATAGAGTTTTCTTCTCTTTTGAGGTCTTTGCCTGGATTTATGAGTATAAGGAATGGAAGATTGGGGGAGGATATCATATCTAACAAATCTGATAAGAGAAAATATTATGTTTAGATGCTTAGGATAGAAATATTTATGTGAGAAACCAGCCATTATGCAATGGATTGTGGTTGGGAGAACACATATGAAGTTTATATTTTCAGAGCCTCATAAGTGACTGCATAAAATAAGATAAGTTTGAGGCTAGCAATATTGTGATGGTTGACATTTTCTGGATCACATTAGAGGATGTCAGGATTCTGTATGAAGTTTAGAGATTCTTAACCTGCTCTGGAATTGTTTCCTATATAAACAATTAGTAGTAGTTAGTGAGACACCAGTACCAATACCAGTGATGAAATTTTCCTCAAAATTGTAGCTTTGAAATTCAGAAGTCTCTATAGAACAACAAGAATTTATCTTCTCCCTCTACTTCCTCTCTGTCTATGTGTCTCGCTCCCCCTATATAGCTATATGTATACATTAAAAAACAACAACAACAACAACAAAAAACAAGGCAACAGGTCCAAATAATTTACTACCATTTACTGAGTACCTATGAATGTCCCAGGGATCTTCCCTGGTGTCTCAGATGGTAAAGCGTCTGCCTACAATGTGGGAGACCTGGGTTCGATCCCTGGGAGGGGAAGATCCCCTGGAGAAGGAAATGGCAAATCACTCCAAAACTCTTGCCTGGAAAACCTCATGGACAGAGGAGCCTGGTAGGCTACAGTCCATGAGGTCGCAAAGAGTCGGACACGACTGAGCAACTTCACTTATGAATGTCATTACTTTACTAAGTACTTTTCATTTATTATCATACTTCACACTGACATTGTCAAGGTTGATCCTGAACTTCAGATGAGATGAGAGATCAACCTGAAACTTTGATTTCAACATTGTGAGACCTGATGCATACAACAAGGTAACATGATCCAGAGAAAGTATAAAATAGAAAATTTAGCTTGTTTTATGGTGCTAAGTTAGTAGTGCTTATGATCTATCAACAGAAATTTGTGTGGATTTCTCCCTTTTCCACATCTATCAGTGTGTGCCTGTGTGTATGGTGTGTGTGTTTGTGTGTGTGTGTGTGTGTGTGTGTGTGTGTGAGACAGAGAGGGAGTGAGAAGGATATAAGACAGAGAAGATGAAATCATTCTATCTCCTTTTTCGAGGGAGGTTTGTGGTAAGCAAAGTTGAGTATGACTCTAGAATTACCTACCTTGTATAATGCAGTTCTCAGTTCTCAATAAAATGTTGGGTGCTCTTGATGTTCCCAGAGAGAGAGAGAGAGAGAGAGAGAGAGACCAAAAGTGTGGAGAGATGACAAACAGGAGTGTAGTGACGACGTTCATCCTCTCGGGCCTTCCCCATTCTCCAGAGCTGGGCACGCTCCTCTTTGGAATCTTCCTGGTGATCTATGTCCTCACTGTGGTGGGGAACCTTCTCATCCTGATGGTGATCACAGTGGATCCCCGCCTGCACACCCCCATGTACTACTTCCTGAGAAACCTGTCCTTCATTGACATGTGGTTCTCCACAGTCACTGTGCCTAAAATGCTGATGACCCTGGTGTCCCCCGAAGGCAGTCCTATCTCCTTTCCCAGCTGTGTGGCCCAGCTCTACTCCTTCCACTTCCTGGGCAGCACCGAGTGCTTCCTCTACACTGTCATGTCCTATGACCGCTTCCTGGCCATCAGTTACCCGCTCAGGTACGCCAGCATGATGAGTGGGAGGACGTGTGTTCTCCTGGCCACAACCACGTGGCTCAGTGGTTCTCTGCACTCTGCTGTCCAGACCACACTGACGTTCCGTTTGCCCTTCTGCGGACCCAACCAGATCCAGCATTACTTCTGTGATGCACCACCCATCCTCAAACTGGCCTGTGCAGACACCTCTGCCAACGAGTTGGTGATCTTTGTCAACATTGGGGTGGTGGCTTCAGGCTGCTTTCTCCTGATAGTGCTGTCCTACGTATCCATCGTCCATTCCATCCTGAAGATCCGCACCTCAGAGGGGCGATGGAGAGCCTTCCAGACCTGTGCCTCCCACTGCACTGTGGTTCTTTGTTTCTTTGTTCCTTGTGTTTTCATTTACCTGAGACCAGGCTCCAAGGAGGCTATGGACAGGATTGTGGCTGTTTTCTACACTGTGATGACGCCCCTTCTGAACCCTGTGGTCTACACCCTGAGGAACAAGGAAGCAAAGAAATCTCTCTTGAAGCTTAAAGACAAAGTAGTGCATTCACAGAGCAAATAATCTCTGCTATGTAGACTTGCTCATTTAATAAATATAGTAATAGAATAGTATAATGAAACATAGAAATATAAGAGTGTATAGTACAATATATGATTTTATCAGTGTGAAATATTTTATATATACAGTTCTTAGTGTTAAACTTTATCCAAATTTCTTAGTCAGGAATATTTGTTCCAAAGAGTTTTTTGAAATTGAAAAAGTTACAAATATTTTATTTATGCTAAACATGTTAAGTTTTGATCTCTGAAATCATTTCTCTGCGGCACATAATTTTACATTTCCCTCTAATTTTATTCACATATAATTGGCATATAACATGATTTTTACCTTTTTAAAGGGTGAATATTCAACTTGGATCTTGGATGCAGAATAGTGAGCTATTTATATATACCTAAGTTGATAATATGCTTTTTTGTTTTTGTCTTATGCTCACAAACTGGGGACACTGCTTAAGAACAGCCAAAAAATTATCAGAGGTCACTTACTGAGCCAGCTCAGTGCTTTTTGTGGCTGCATGTGTGTGTATGTGTGTGTGTGCCTGTGTGTGTGTTTGCATGAAGGTCCCAAGGTAACTACCCCGCTTCCCAGGACATCTTGACCCTGGTCAGTGCTCCTACAATGAAAGAGTTCCGCATGTCTGAGAGGCTTGTTGTCTCTCCAGGTAGGTCTGCCAGGACAAGCTACAGATCTGAGAGGCTCCTTTCAGAGACTGGGAACCATCACCACCTTCAGCGAGCCCTGAAGTTTCTCAGGTTTGGTCAGTGTGATCAGGAGGAAGGTACCGTCAAACACCTCCAGTCTCCATCACATAATCTGACCTTAAATTATGGTATTAATGGACCAGATGCTCATATTCAGCACAACCATTCTATGCTGGGTCATTTCACTGTGGATGTTGATGAGGGTCATGCTGCTCAGAGAGCACCTTCTCTCAATATTTCAGAATCTTGGAAATTCAGATTCACCAAACCTCAACCTTCTCTAGGACAAGGACACCCTACATTGTAGGCTGGAGCCAAGGGTGCTTCTTATTTAGAAAAAAGTAAAAAAATTAAAGTGTAATTAAATCACTTGGCATCATGGGATTTCAACTTATTTCTTTTACAAGTTAGAAAAATAAGGCCTAGTAAAGACAAAACACCCTAAAAAACTCCCAGTGCATAGCTACACAGCCCATACAAGTAGACTTCCATGTGCAATGGATGAAGTGCAGTAACTGCATGTAAACAAAAGCAAATATTGGTTCAAATAAGGTTAGAAATAATTATGCTCTGTATCTCTGTTTTTCAGCTGTGAAAGACCTTCTCTAGTAGTGCTGTTTGGAGAATTCAATGAGTTAATAGAAGTAAAATTCCTTTGAGAAGTGAAAAGTGTTGGTCATTCAGTCCTGTCTGAGTTTTTGTGACTCTGTGGACTGTAGTAGTACTGTCCAAAATAGTTTCTTTTTTTTCCTTTATTTTTATTAGTTGGAGGCTAATCACTTTACAATATTGTAGTGGTTTTTGCCATACATTGACATGAATCAGTCATGAATTTACATGTTTTCCCCATCCCGATCCCCCCCCCACCCCTCCCTCCCCATCCCATCCCTCTGGGTTATCCCAGTGAACCAGCCCTGAGCACTTGTCTCATGCATCCAACCTGGACTGGTGATCTGTTTTACACTTGATAATATACATGTTTCAATTCTCACAATAGTTTCTTAATTCAAGTTTTAAAATTTGAACCTGTGACCACCAGCTAGATAGTTTGATTCTCAGTATCAATCCTTTTACAAACTATCTTAGTGATTGACTAGTGATTCATGCATCTTCAAAAGTATAGTAATTTTGAAGTTATATGAATGTGGTTTTCTTTAAATCACTGGTAATACATTAGTATCATGATTAACACCATTATTGCCAATGCAACGTACAAATGCCAGTGCAGTCCGGCATTTCTCATGATGTACTCTGCATGTACGTTAAATAAGCAGAGTGACAATGTACACCCTTGATGTATTCCTTTCCCAGTTTTGAACCAGCCCATTTTTTCATGTCCAGTTCTAACTGTTGCTTCTTGACCTGCATACAGGTTTCTCAGTAATGATGAAAGGTGAGTGAAACTTTCAACAAATTGTGTTGTATTTTTATGTATTCTCTTGAGACTCTCCGGAGAAGGCAATGGCAATCCACTCTGGTACTCTTGCCTGGAAAATGCCATGGATGAAGGAGCCTGGTAGGCTGTAGTCCATGGGGTCGGTACAAGTTGGACACGACTGAGCGACTTCACTTTCACTTTTATGCATTGGAGAAAGAAATGGCAACCCACTCCAGTGTTCTTGCCTGGAGAATCCCAGGGATGGGAGAGCCTGGGGGGCTGCCATCTATGGGGTTGCACAGAGTCAGACACTTCTGAAGCAACTTAGCAGCAGCAGCAGCTTGAGGCTTTCCTTGAAATAACTGAAATAACTTCTGTGAAGCCCGGAACTTGTCCTTGGAGACATTATTATGGTGTTGTTCCTCTGTTAACCTGATATTTTAAAACATTGTTTGTAATAACATGACATGTATGATTGAGTCCTTGAAGCTGTATTCTCTGAGTTTATTAGTACTTGAAAAGGATCCTAAATTATAGAAGTCAATAGTTAACATAGAATCTGGCTCAACTCCATAATGAATAGGGATGACTGATAGCGGAAAAGGTGCCTTAAAACTCAACATTCAAGACACTAAGATCAGGGCATCTGGTCCCATCACTACATGGCAAATAAAAGGGGAAAAAGTGAGATGACCATTTATGGGTTCTGGGCAAGTTTATGTTTAGAATAAACAGTTGCGAGTTTATCTGTCTCACTGATAAGGAAATAGGGTAACTGAGTCCTTCTTTCCTCTTAGGCATAAGTACTAGCTCCAGAAAGTCATGAACTCCTCTCAGGAGTGTTCAGATAACAAACACAGAGGGAAATATGTAGGCAATTATTAAAAATCTTTCATTAGTCCCTTTCTGTTGTTTTTCTGTTCATCTAGGGAGCCTGAACACCCAAGAGTAATCCTATTCCCTGAGAAAGCAAATCAAGTTACATTCTACCTTTCCAGCTATGTGAGTTTCTATTCTCTGCCCTTAAGTTGGTTGGGTCCTTGAACAGAAATGAACCACTGTTTCTCAACAAGCAATCACAGGTACACCAGCTCTTTGAGTAGTAACTTGCAAATAAGTGCTTCAACATAGCATGTTGAGTGTTCAACATTCTCCAGGGTGAAGGGTAAACACAAATGAATTTTATGTTGAAATAATCATGCAGTGAAGGTGAGTTCTTAGAAAGGTAAATTTCTCTCATTTCCACTTGCTTTCCCTCTTAAGCTTCTGTTTCAAGATAAGATGTTATCTAACATTGTTAGATAGGACATTGATAACCACTTGTGGTTATCAGGTCTTGACTGTCTCTCTTTCACTCTGTTTCTATTCTTTATTCTTTCTCTCTGTATGTATAATACACACACAAATTACACACATATATATACACACATATATGTATATACATACAACATATACATATCTTTATAGTACAATTAGTAATAGGGACCTACAAAAAGGGACAAAGTTGCTACAGTATAAACAGACATGTCAAACCCTGTTTCCTCTCACTGATAATGCCAGCCTTAGGTCTCAGGCTACCTTGCAATTCACTTGATGAAAAACTTCATAATTTATGTGATCTATGTGATTTATCCTGGCGATGGACTCCCACTGGTACAGTAGAAATTTTAGAGATGTTTGTTTCATTTTTTTGGTTCTGACACCCACATAGGATATTAGGGTAATTGTCACTGTTATTTACTTTTTCATTTGAAGGATATAGTTTAAGACAGATTGTCTGGAGATAGTATCCATTCTGTGTGGGCTTTATTAAGAGCAGAGAACCTCAATTTTCTCACATTGGCGAATCTTTCCTTGAAAAATAGCAATAATCTTGAATTCAACAATATTTTGGATTAAGCTAAAAACATCATTTCTGCCTCACTTTCCATTGTACACAGTTCCAACTTTTCTTGATATTAAGTTTAGTTCAGATCAGTTGCTCAATTGTGTCCAACTCTTTGTGACCACAAGGTGACTGCGGCATGCCAGGCTTCTCGGTCCCTCACCAACTCCCAAAGCTTGCTCAAACTCATGTCCATTGAGTTGGTGATGCCATCCAACCATTTCATCCTTTGTCATCCCTTTCTCCTCCTGCCTTCAATATTTCCGAGGTTCAGGGTCTTTCCAATGGTCAGTTCTTCATATCAGGAGGCCAAAGTATTGGCATTTCAGCTTCAGCATTAGTCCTTCCAATGAATATTCAGGACCGATTTCCTTTAGGATGGACTGGTTGTATCTCCTTGCAGTCCAAGGGACTCTCAAGAGTCTTCTCCAACACTACAGTTCAAAAGCATCAATTCTTCTGCACTTAGCTTTCTTTATAGTCCAAGTCTCACATCCATACATGACTATTGGAAAACCATAGCTTTGACTAGATGGACATTTGTTGGCAAAGTAATGTCTCTGCTTTTTAATATGCTGTCTAGGTTGGTCATAACTTTTCTTCAAAGGAGCAAGCATCTTTTAATTTCATGGCTGCAATTACCATCTGCAGTGATTTTGGAGCCCAAGAAAATAAAGTCTGTCACTGTTTCCATTGTTTCCCCATCTATTTGCCATGAAGTCATGGTACCAGATGACATGGTCTTAGTTTTCTGAATGTTGAGTTTTAAGCCAGCTTTTTCACTCTGTTCTTTCACTTTCATCAAGAGGCTCTTTAGTTGTTTGCTTTATGCTGTAAGGGTAGTATAATCTGCATATCTGAGGTTATTGATATTTTTCCCAGCAATATTGATTCCAGCTTGTGCTTTGTCCAGCCTAGCATTTTGCATGACATACTCTGCATATAAGTTAAACAAGCGGGTTGACAATACACAACCATGACACACTCTTTTCCCTCTTTGGAACCAGTCTGCTCTTTCATGCACAGTTTTAACTAT